TTTGAACTGTTTTGTCCATATAATGAAAATTAATAGTGATGAAAACAACACAGGATGACACTGACTTTCATTGTGTGGACAAAACAAAAAATCTTATTTTGTGTCACATAGAAAAAACGTCATACAGGTTTGAAACAACATGAGGGTGAGTAAATTATGACAGAATTTTAATTTTATTGACTACTCTATGTATTTTTTAATGATAGCTAAGGCTTTAAGGTATGTTTATTTACATAATTTAACTTCAAATAATCCCAGCTTGAGAAATATTCACATTGGTAAACAGAGACTCCCATGTGCTGTACTTGCATTTAGCATATATGTTAAAATAGATTTTAATATAAAGCTTCATATGTACTGTAGTACAGTTGTTCTCAAAGCCTTTTTTGGATATCTGTTCTTATCCTTTGCGTATCGCCAAAACACGGGTCACATGACTGTTTGTTTGTCACAAAGCAAAGTTTTCAGGTCATACTTAGAAGGGAGAGGTTATTATGTGAGTATAGGAGAGCATAAGTCTAAGTGGACGTCCATGACATGCGGAGTCCCACAAGGCTCAATTCTTGCACACTCTTGTTTAGCCTGTATATGCTCCCACTAAGTCAAATAATGAGAAAGAACCAAATTGCCTATCACAGCTATGCTGATGATACCCAGATTTACCTAGCCTTATCGCCAAATGACTACAGCCCCATTGACTCCCTCTGCCAATGCATTGATGAAATTAACAGTTGGATGTGCCAGAACTTTCTTCAGTTAAACAAGGAAAAAACTGAAGTCATTGCATTTGGAAACAAAGATGAAGTTCTCAAGGTGAATGCATACCTTGACTCTAGGGGTTTGACAACTAAAAATCAAGTCAGGAATCTTGGTGTGATTCTGGAGACAGACCTTAGTTTCAGTAGTCAGTAGCTGGCTCAGGGATCAAGCAGATGTTGCAATCATAAAGAAATACACAAGTCCTGAATTAAATATGAGGCCTTAAGGCACGGAAAACACAGGCCTGAAAAGACATGGATTATTGCTGTTCTACAGGCTTTTTGGATGCAACAGGAGCATAGATTGATTGTAGCGCATGGCAAATGCAAGGAAATCCCAGTGAACATAAACGCATTGGATTATGTGAAATAACTGTAGTTATGTCTCTTGATGTGTCAGTCTTGAAGAACATTTCATTTCTGGCGAGTAGACAGCTGTTCTCAACATATTGCAAATTCATTATACAAATGGCTGGGATCCCTGGACAGCCCCTGTTATGTCAAAGGGTTTTAAAGCATTTACTTTGCAGAGCACAGAGATGAAATCTGTAAAAAGGCAAAGAACTTGACAGAATCTTCTCAGAACATGGTTTTACCAGGAAATGATTTGTTAGCCAATCATTTCTCTATGTTGCAAGATGTTTGAAGAGGCTGTGTTGAGGGATCTCTGAATATTTGACAGTAAATCTGCTGGGTGATTACAGAGTATTTTATAAAAACATTAGGAAAACAGATAAAAGCCTACATTTCTATTAAAATGTATATATATACACAAACAATAACGTCATATAATCCTAAGATTCTTTTTTCCCAAAAATGGGGTTAGTTCACCAAAGTAATCAACACATACTCACCTTCATTGCACTCCAAACAAATTCCAAACCCCTTTCTTTCTTCTGTGGAACACAAAGATATTTTGAAGAACTGTTTTTGTCCATATAATAAAAATGAATGGTGATCAAAAGAACATTGGATCACATTGACTTTTGTGTTTGACGTTTGTTGACATGCTGAAGTTTGAAACAATATGCGAGTGAGTTAATGCTGACAGAATTTTCATTTTTGGGTGAACTATCCCTTTAAGTGCTTGAATTAAAGAAATGCAAAGAACAAAAGTGAGTCATAAAAATAAAAATAATGACAGGTTAAGCCTTTTTTGAAAATTTTTTTCATAACAATGCAAATTAGTCAATACTAGTATTATTTAGCAGATTTACATATTTTCCTGTGTTTTTGACATGAAGACAACATTACCAAAGCTTTTTAATGTTTCAGAGTGATTAAACTTTTATTGCTTTCCTCGTAGCAGAACATTTTAGCAAAGCTGATGATTGCATGATGGTTTCGCACGCCAAAATAGAGATCTCTCACTGGTATTCATCCATTTAGTGAACTATATGTCTGTGTCAATGGTTCACAATCAGAGTCCCTTAGCAAATTTCCAAAGAGGCCACTGGATGACAACAATTATTTAAATGAATATATTAATATTATCATAACTGATAAAATAATAACTAATAAATACGCAATTAAATTCATTCATTTGCTAAACATCATACAACCAAGATATAAACTACATTTTATTTTATTTTTTTATTTTTTTGGACAGTTTTGGAAACACAAAATGAATTGTGGTTAAATGTGTGGTTAACATTCCCAGTTTCTGGACTTTGAATATTGTGTTGGACAATTGGAGGCCTTTGGTTCAAAAATGTTAAGAACCAACATAATGGGGGACCACATTTAGAGTTGGTGGCCTTTTGCCAAATTGACGAGTCAACTCTGCCGCCATATCAGTAAAGCAGTTTCAACAAAGTCTGGGTCAGAGCCAGATGGGTGATGTAAGAATTGACACACTCCCTGAAATCACATTTGCTTTGCAAAGAAGGGAAGTTTTCGAAGAAAACAATGGTGTTGTGAATTCTTGGCAGCAGTTTGCGGGGCGCCATTGACAAAAGCAAATGTGATTAAATTTTACTGGGATGGCTAGAGTCTCCGCAATCATCAGTGAGCTCGGGCTAAAGAGAGATGACACGAAGTTTTCGAAGAAAACAATGGTGTTGTGAATTTTTGGCAGCAGTTTGCGGGGCGCCATTGAAAAAAGCAAATGTGATTAAATTTTACTGGGATGGCTAGAGTCTCCGCAATCATCAGTGAGCTCGGGCTAAAGAGAGATGACACATAAATTACTCTGCCTCTTTGCCTCTAATGGGACTCGTCACTATGGGGAAGTATCTTGCACACAGAGCAAATGACAGAAATATTCACAGCTAATAGACTAACAATTTGCCAAAGCATCTCCATCGTTAGGATAGAAATCACAGAGAGGCGAGGTGATCATCTCCTCTAGATGGGCTTTTTCGGAAAGTCTCAATGCTGTTGTGATTGAAATTTTGAATCGTGAAGCGCTTCAAAGTGTCTGACATTTTGTGAGACACCGAAAAGTCACATTTTGGATGAAATACGATGAAATATGATATTTCTGTCCATCTGCATTTGTAACCAAAGAGCAGAGCTCTGAATAAGTGTGTCTGTCCGGGGCTGTCTGTGTTTTGGCGTGTTATTGCATGTGGGCAGTGTCTGGGAGAGGAGTCTAACTTGCGTCTGTGTGTGGACAGACCCCTGGGGAGTGACATTTTCCAGAGGTGGACGCAGGGCAGCCGTGTGACTGTTTGACTTCTTCAGTGGTCAGGCACCACATCTAATGCCACACACCTCTAGCACTCAGTCGACATGCTTTCAGCTGACACAAATCGCTTCTGCCAAGGGTTAGTTTAAGTGTTACCTGAGCATGATGGGTAGAGCAGGTCTCAATAACAGGTGAGAAAATAACTCTCTTGAAAATAACTTGGAATTAAATGGTATTTAAAACTGAAATGTTTAGGGTTTATACGTGTTTCTTCAACTACAGTGGACAGTCTCATAAAACACAATCTTCACATTCTCCCTATAGCCAATGATTTTTTTTTTTCGTATTTCTTTCAGAGAGTCATGAAAATATTCAACACAATGTCATTTTCACCACATGTCAAATTATGTTTTATGTTTAATAGTGTTCTGTCATGGAAATAGTGATGATAAAAATACTTTTTTTGCTAAGGCAGATTTTATGTATGCAGTTTGACAGAATTGATTGGGGTGTTGGTTGAAAATGACCTAAAATATTCTGCTTACAAGTGGTATTTACATTTTTAAGTGATATTTAAGATGATTTTTAAGATTTTCAAAGGGGTTATTTTCCAGGGTTATTATCATTAGCTAAAAGTAAAATGATTTAAAAAAATAAACATTAACTGAAATAAAATAAAATAGAAAAAATATATATATTTTTTCTTTAAACATTGATGTAAATCACTTTTACACAGAAAGTGTCAAAGATTTTACATTTTAATATAGGCTAACCTTGATATAACACACAATAATGAATAACAAAGGAAAATAAAAAAGTAAAATAAATAATATTTTGTATAATATTTTATAAAATTGTAGTTTCATTCACATGGAAATTTTTAACAAGCGTGTGTTTGTGTGAGAAATAAACAGTGCACAAATATGTGTGTGTTTTAGTGTGTCTTATGAGGTTAACTGCAGTGTGTAAATTCCTGGGCAGCATGAGATATAGACTTGTGATCCTCTGATCTCTGATTATGTCTGAGCCTGTAAATATCATGTGATTAATCAAGAGGGCTTGTTCTGCACACGGCTTCCTCAGTCACCTTCACAGCTGGGAAACCAGCTCTGCCCTGTTTGCACGGATTTGTTTCAGTCCCGTCTGCCTGCAGCTTATTTCATTTAATAAACCTTAAATCTGCTGCGCTCTTTACTGTCTCTGTGTTTCTGTTTTCTCCATCAGCTTGATTTACAATTTATACCACGTCACATGTAGTTTACACTGTTCTTTTTATGGTATTTATGCACATCACACCATGAATGTGTTTCCAACCTCTTCGACCATGAGGTGCTGTCAAAGGACATTTGCGCTGCGTTTCTTTCACAAACACATTCAGAGTTTGTAAACGTATAAAGGAAAATGTAAGGCTCTTATGTGTAATATGTGTCTGCTTGGCTTGTCTGAAAAGTCATTCTGCAAAAAAAAAAAAAGCAAGACACAGCACATTCTTTAGTATTCAGAGAGCCAACACAGACTATTAAAATATATATATAGGCTTTTATTTTGAAACCAGTGTCTTTTATTTTGGAAGTATTATATCTCTGATTGTTTCAAATCCAGGCCTTGATTGTAGCTACATACTAGTGGTTTGTTTGCTGTTAGCATGTATATCGGCTGTGTCCTAAACTGTAGGTTGCTGTCTTTCTGCCTAGACAGTAAATGGCAACAGTTGAAGGTACAAATTAAAGAAACTAAAGCTTAAACAAACTCAAGTGGGCTTTAAAGGTAACCCAGTGAATATTTAATGACTGGAATGCTTATTTCTTGGTAGAAATTGAATTGTAAGGGGAAAAAACTAAATATGGACACTTTTAACCAATCTATCAGACATGTTTGAATTCTCTCAACCGCCAACTCACACACACAGGATTATGGGATATCGTAATCAGGGAAGGATACATTGATGCTGCCTTCAGTAATCAACCAAACAGATGTTACACAAACATTGGATTTTTTTCTTCCTGACATAGATGTGTAACTGGAGCCACTTTTGGTGAGTTTATCAATTCTGATCATAATAAAGTCACATTTTCATGCTGAAGGTATGCTTTAGAGTAGATTTTTGTTACTTTTACATTTTGTCTGGTTTATTCTTTTACATTTTTGTCTGGTTCACACTGGTTTTAAATCTCAAAAACAAGTAACACTCATGTCGCCTTTAAGTGAAGTTGGAAATATTATACATGAATGTCCAAGCAAAGTTGTATTTAAAATGAGAAGTAATCACTTTGCAATTGATAAAAAAGTATGAACTGTATTGTATGAATGGGTGTAGAAAGAATGTAATCCAGTCAGGGCTGGACTGGGATAAAAAATCGGCCCTGGCATTATTTGGTCCAGGCGGCCCACCACCACTTCGAGATATATATATATATATATATATATATATATATACAGTGGGTACGGAAAGTTTTTACTATTTAAAATAATTGTTTTCTATTTGAATATATTTTAATATGTAATTTATTTCTGTGTTTTCAAAGCTGAATTTTTTGCATTATTACTGCAGTCACACGATCCTTCAGAAATCATTCAAATATTCTGATTTGCTGCTTAAAAATATTTCTTATTTTCATCAATGTTAAAAACAGTTGTGCTGCTTAATATTTTTACATTATAAATGTCTTTATCGTCACTTTTGATCAATTTAAAGCAAAATAAATAAAAGTAATAATTTCTATCTATTCTGTCAAGCACTTTAACGATTCAACTACTCTCTTCTTCTCCTCCTGCCTGGCTCTTTGGCCTGCATCACTCACTGCAGAGCAAGCCTGTTCTTGATAATGCTGCTGTGAAAACATGGGAAAAGCTGACAGGGAAGAAGTTGGGGTGAAGCGATCTTTACATAGGCGGAGCAAAATACTTAATCGCTCCATCTATAGCGCATTGTGATTGGATGATTACACTGTCAATACAGGAGACAAACCAATGGGCCACTGGATACTCGCTGTCCCTGCGTGATGGTCCTCGGCAAAAAAAAACAAAACCTTCTATCGGCCCCTTAAGTGCATCGGCCCACCGGGAAAATGCCCGATATGCCCGATTACCAATCCAGCCCTGAATCCAGTCATAGTACATTTGCCATGTTGTTATTGTCATGTTACCTATACCAGTGTCATTTGCATGACTTCACTGCTATTCACAACTTTCTCCAATGGCCTCAATTTGCACTTCAGAACCTCACTAGAAGTAATAGGTCATCTGGGAACTTTTCACACACTATGTACTTTTTTGTCTGTTATATGGAAGTATGCAATTTCAGATGCAGCCTTGGAATGCAAGATGGTTGCCAAGCTGTAACGTAAGATGGGGCAATGTGAAAAATGTTGGGAAACAAATCTGGTTAATAAGTTAATATGGTTCGCCTTATACAAATTAAATGTTATTGTTAAATACTGTGCGTAATTAAGATGTAGAGATGAGTGGTTTTCATCATTTTCTATTCAGAAGTAGAAATTTTTTTTTTCCAAGTCATCCATTGTTTTGTTTAGGCTACCTCTGTATTGTTTTTCCAAAATGTGTGGCATGCTGCAATAACGAACACCCAACTTAAAAGTAGAAGCTTCTCAGGTGCACTCCAAGGCTTGACCTCTTAGAAACATGCATACGCAGAGGCAAGTCTCCTTTCTGCATCTTTGACAAATGCCCTGTCATCTCCTACTGCCGTTATCTACCAATTACCCCTTTTCAAACCAGTTCACTTGGAAAATGCAGTTGGATGGTACGGGTAACTCAACATGGGCTTGAAGAGGGCAAGTGATTCGGCTGATTGCTGAAACCTCAATGATTGTCATTCTAAGATGGTGTAGGGGACATATATGTCAGCTTAATCAAGACATTAAACCTAGTGCCCGTCCGCCAGGATGCGGAGCCCTGACCTGTCTGAGAAAATAGTTCTCTAATTGGTTTTGTGTGGTGGTGCAGCGTCCCCGTTCCCACCCAACTGTCATCCCCACACACTCCCAATGCACATCAATGTCAGTAGACCTTTAAAATCTCCTTAACAAGATCCACATTACATAAACACTATTTTTTTATTGAATCTTTAAGTGAGACTCTCGAGGAGAGGTTGTGTTTTCTATCCAAGTCGAGGCCAGATGAGATGAGAGAAGATGGTGGAAAAACAACAACCGCTAACCTGGGAATGCATCCAAACCTTAGCTATGCTAATTTTGTCAGTATCACAGCTTGACCATGGAAAGATAGAATTAAGTTCTTGAGCAATTTGAAAGGGGCGTGAGGGTGGATGACAGGCATGGTGAAATATGCCATGCGCTGCCCTTCAGGTTAAGATCAGGGAGAAAATGCTAATTTACTGAATGCACTTGTAGAGGTCATGAGCCGTTCTATTTATCAGCCACCCTTGCGACAATGAACAAATACTACTACAGTTATTTTTTAGACATCATAGTACATTGTACTTGTGGCATATACTGTTTTTGCTACTGTTGTTGTTGTTGTTCAACAACAAACCTATTCGTTTTTGACATAAGCATGCAAATTATTTTGCATGTTGTTTCTGAGAAAATGTTGCGTTGTTTCTATTTGAACGAACACAGTTGCAGTTTTTTTTCTAATGTAGTATTTTTTAGCTCAGATAGACATATTTCATGCAGACAGCATATTAAAATACCATATCGTAATGTACTACAGCAGCAGTTAATTTTATGTACTTCTACTCACTTATTTACCCCTCTACCCTTTTATTTATTTACATATAATTTACATATTTATTTACATATACTTCTACTTGTTTACTTACACTCATATATGTCTATTGTCTATCATTTATGTTTTACATACTCGTTTTTACATGTTTACTTGCATGTATGTATATTCGTATATAAGTAAATGAGCAAAAATATAAATTAGTATACAAGTAAATGAGATTGTATTTGGTACATTGATTAAGAACATTTTATAGTAATTTGTAGAATATTTTCTATAATTTATAATTCGCTGTATTTAGACATACTAATTTTCATTTTATACATATACTTTTTATACTATACATATACTGTAAGTATATAGTGTAAATCAATTTATATAAATGTGTAAATAAGCAAAAAAGTAAACAAATATATAAGTAAATTAGAATTTATTTATTGATTTAGTACTTTTATACTCACACTCATTTATACTGTAGTATATTTTCTAATATATATATATATATATTTATTTTATTGATTTATTTTTTTACTTATATGTATGTAAATTTGTAAATAAGAAAAATACTAAAATACTTTACTTGTAATCTTAAATACTAATCCGGAATAACATGATCTTGCAGAAAAGTGTTTTTATATAGTGTCCGTGCTGAGATTCTGTTTGTTTGTGTGTGTTTTTTTCATCAATATGTGCTATGTTTATAATTAATGATTCAATTAAAGTCTTATATCAAGGTTCTGATGTCTATTCAGGAACTTAAAGTAAGACTCTCTTCTATAGATGTCATATTGGCAGAGTTATTGATTTAATCTAAAATATGCATGACTTCAGCCACAGCCATTAGGTTCTTAATGAATTGTTATATTTTATTTACCCTAATCACGTCAGACTACACTCCTTAATAGCTGAGCAGTTTTTGGGTTAATGCATTGATTGAGATATGCAGCTTTTATTTATTTATTCAGATAATAGGTGGTTGAATCATCATTTAAAACCAGCATTAAAGAGCACTTATGTTGCGCATTCAGCATGCTTTATTTTTAATCTGGCTCATTACTGATGATAAATTACATCTTAATTATAATGATAAACACCCTGCGTAAATGAATGAGGTGTATCTGACAGGAGGACTAATTTGCTAATAACTATCACCCTGTGAATAAATGATGACACCTCTCATTTTGCTTTACACATTAGTCATGTCTCTTTTGTATTCCTCTAAGTACTATCTTTTTTATATCGATCCTTTGGCTTGAAATGCAATATTATAGTTAATATTTAATATTGATTAAAGGGACAGTTCACCAAAAAAATTTATCATTTACTCACCCTCAAGTTGTTCCAAAAACTTGATGAGTTTATTTCTTCTGTTGAACACAAAAGAAGATATTTTGAAGAATGTTGGTAACCAAACAGTTGACGGTAGCCATTGACTTTCATATTATGAAAAAAAAAAAAAAAACCATGGAAGTCAATGGCTGCCATCAACTTTTGGGTGAACTCTCTGTTTCTATTAAAGACACTTGTACTTTGTGTACATTTATTTTCTATGCTGGTCATCTTATCATCTTACTCAAATTATGTATTTATGTACCTTAGTTCATTAGAATTGGGCCCCATATATAGTGCCGTGGTTAAACTCAGAATAAAATCAAAGTACAATGCGAGTCTCAGACTTTTGTTCACAAAGAAGTCCCAAACGCGAAATCCCCATGTCACTCTATTGACAAGCTTAAGTGCTCAGATAAGCCTTGATTCAGTGCACTATGCCTCAGAGCAACGACTCAACAGTGAGCTAAACCTCTTCAGTGATAAACATTAACGTAAGGCGAGCAGACAGAGAGCTCATCCATTAAAATATACAGCTCTGGTTACTCCACAGGAGACCGACGGCTCGTAAGACGGGACAAGGGTGGGTGACCTTGAAGCATTAACTATTCCTGCTAATTGACTAATAATAAAATGTTTTTATTGTCCAAAAATAGCCTTTAGGATAATTGAATTTTGCCTCACTTTGTGGTAGGTCTGGATTTTTGCTGAGGTTGTAAAACATGACTCTTAATTGGCATAATATAAAAGATTACAGTGATGGCTGTGATTACTGTCCTCGCTTTCTGGAGCCATCGCTCTGCCAAACTTTACATTTAAACCAGAATCATTAAGCTTCAAATTACAGCACACAACCCTATTGGTCCTCATTAGCATTGACTGATCCTTGGCTGGGCGGACACCCTCACGTATTTTAATTAGCTACACCTCACATCCAATCAGTCTAATAACAGGTGTTAATTTTCCATTTCCTCTTTTCTTTCTTCTGTTATCAAT